AAATCCAATAGCATGTGCACCACTGCTGAAATGATTGCATCATTGCAAGCAAGTGAAAAATAGATTTCGGAATTTTTTATTATCTTCTTTTTACCTTTAGCATGTTTTAAACCCTTCAATTGGTTAAGCTTGAACTGTATGACATTTCTCTGCAAGCAACACAGGTTTAAATGTATTCACAGTGAGACAGGCATGAAAGCACACTTGGTTTTTATTTTAATGTTTTTAGTCAGTTGTAGAGAAACAACCTTCTTTCAATCATATATCTTCTACATACTCAACAACTGTTCTTGGAGAAAATAGATTTATTTATATTAATTGGTTTTAAGCCACTTTATAGGCCTAGTTCATACATTTCTACTCAGGTAGAGGTCTGGGCCATGTCAGATGACTAATGATAGCCTGCTTCCCCTGGGTTAAAACCAATTTTAAAGCTTGTGGAGCTTGATTGTCCTGTGGGAATACCCAGATGTCGGAGTGAGACAACATTTGTCCATCGATCCAGTCCAGAGGCAGGTTTTTTTTTTTTTTCAGAATGAAAAAAGGAAGGAAAAATAAAAAGAGGGCAAAAAACAGCTTTCAAAAGGGTGAAATTAAAGGGAAAAATTAGTGTATTTGATCCATTTCTTTTTCCAAAAAAAAACGGGCAAAAAAAAATTGAGTTCAGTTGGTTTTTTTATAGAAAAGAGGAAAGAAACTAAATAAAAATAAATAAAAGGAAGGAAGGAACTAAATAAAGAGGGAGAAAATAAAGTAAAAAAGGGGGGAAACTGAAGTTTCATAATTTTTTTCAAAGGGGAAAAATTACCCTTTTATGAAAAAGAAAAAAAGGTAAAGGGAGATTCAGTATTTTTTCTTTATTTACAGACCAGATTCATTTTTTTATCATTGTTTTTAGAACATAGAACAATAATTAATATTTACACTTGATGTGATCCAACAATTGATAAACTTATCCTTACTGATGGATTCTTCTCCTCTAGGAGTGAAGATGAGAAGCTGTCAGAGATGTTAGACAACCCACTGTACGGCTCGATGTCCAAATTACACAAAGACCAAGCCCACCTCCAGCCAGACTTTCTTACACCAACAGCAGACGTAGAGTCTGATCGCCCCCCGCTGCCCATGCCACGCAACCGCTCCTTCACCTCCTCTGAGAACAGATCCCAGCCGCCCACCCCCATCAGCCTACATCCCCCAGGACACAAGAAACCAGTGGTTCCCTCTCGCTCAGAGGGAGGGCTGGGACACAATCAGCCTCCTCTGCCGTCCAAATCCCGCCCAGATCCACAGAACCCCAAACCCAGAGATTACAGAGAAACCTCCGAGTTCCCCAGCAAACAGAGAATCCCGTCAAGACCCGGTTCATACCTGCCTAACAAAGACAGTAAGGAACACCAAAGACTTAATAGATAAAGCTAAATAAACAGACACTAATTGATTTTTTTCTTTTTTTTTCTCAGTGCATCCAGAGTTTCCAAAGACGGGCCGTCCAATAAACTGAGATAAAGCTGCAAATAAAGCCAGCACTGACAGAAACAGCTGCCTTCCCTGCATTAAGTGAAGCCAAAGCTCCAACTGCTTCTTTTCATCACTGTGTCACAGTATAGCCTATTACTTCTCTGCACTGTCAAAAAAACATATTTCTCCCTTTGTTATAGATTTGAGTTAACTAGTGTTGCACCGATACCATTTTTTTGGCCCCGATACTAATACCTGATACCCGGCTGTGCAGTATCGGCCGATACCGATACCATCTGTTTGAAATTGATGTGTGTGTGTAAATATGAAGAAATGCATACTACTTGGATGTAAAATAATTGTTGCCTACCTTTGTGAAGCAGGAAAAAGACTAATACAAAGTCGAATACAATAGTTGAACAAAAGTTTAGCTCTCGAAATGGTATCGGTGCCCTATTTGTTGGTACTCGCCGATACAGATAACACCATTTTAGTGCTGGATCGGGGCCCGTCCTGATACTTGTATCGGTGCAACACTAGTTAGAACTAAGCTACATTTCCAGTCTTATGCTAAGCTAAGTTATCTACACGATGGCTGCAGCTTTAAATTGATCAGATCACACCTGGTGGGGGCCCAGCAAGCTGTCAGTTTGTTCCATATAAGCCACTTAATGGGATCTGGGATTAGAAACGAAACATAACTAGTATTGCTATGTTTTTATTAGCTTAGTTTTTATTTTTTTTGTTTCCTCGCCAAGTCAGCCATGTTTCTATGGTAGTCCAAAGAGGTCAAAGCAAATGTGAGATCAAGAAATGAAATCACATTATATTTCAGTTTGATGTCGCTGCATCGATCTTACTTTACTGTTACAGAAAGTCGATATCTGCTAAACTTTCGTCACACACCTTGTCGGTTACAAAAGCTAATTCTGCTTCCAAATAATTAGAAATGGGACTTTACACTATACTGTGGCTGATGAATGTATACCACACAGTATTAAATTGCACAAACGATGTCATATTTGTCTCCAAATGTATAATACATTCCAAAATAAATACAGTTGTGGAAGTTTAATGGCAATGTGTATTATTTTTATTGATTTTTTTTCTTTCACAAGGTGATTCCTTATAAAATAACTGGTTGTGAAGAAACTTGTAATTTTTTATAAGTGTTCCATAAAAGTTTGAAAAACAATCCACTGGACTTTGCTTCCAAGGTTTGAAGACGTTTCGCTTCCCCTTTTGAATTGAAAAAGCTTCCTTGAGGGGAAGCGAAACATCTTCAAACCTTGGAAACAAAGTCCAGCGGATTGTTTTTTAAACTTTTATGGAATGACTATGACCTGGATGACTGAGAATCTTCACAGCAAACTTATAAGTGCATTTATAAAAAGTATAGTCTATTTTTTAATGCATTACAGTTCTTACAATTTGACCTTATATCTATGTAAGTGATTTGTAAGTTTTTTGTGTGACTTTAGTCACTTTATAGAATATGTGGAGAGGGTTGCCTATTTTAACCACAATATCTTCTTTGTGAAAAGTAAATATACATCCATTTATGAAGATATTCAAACTTTGTTGTAAAACCATATGCAAATTAAAGTGCTATCTGCCTGCCTATCAGGCCTTGTCCACACTGACAGGGATTCTTTGTATTCTATTCTTACATAGAGACCCATTTGCACATTTCTGCTCTGGCTTTAAGCAGGGACTGGAGCTAAAGCATGGAAACTAAGATACATGGAGAAAAAACATATGGCAACCAGAATTTACAATTTACATAGAAGAACCAGATTCAGCATTTTATCCCACCTGCAATCATGATGTATATCTAGAAATTATATCTATAAAACTTCACAATAGCTCTACAACTAAAAGAACAAATAATTCTAATAAACGAAATATAATCTGGGAGGAATTTGCCTTATTTTGTTTTCTTTGGTTTGTATCCGCAGGCTTAGGTGTAGGTTTTAAAAACCCTTTCATGTTTTCAAGAGACTTTTTCTCTGCCTGCAAGGATTACATAAACTAATGTTCTTTTTTAGAGAAGGTAAGATACAGACCTAAAAAAAAGGCATTTTTTACTTATCTGGTGTGTTTAAATCAGACCACATGTAAACAGGAGATGATTTAGTCACAATTTAAATATTTATTGTGTACTGCAGTGCTTACTTTAATAGTCTATGATGATAGAATGCAAAGTATCACAACAATAAATGTATAGATTACAAAATACTAAATAGTTTTTAACCCTACATGTTTGTAGGCCATATAGCCTTTGTACTTACATAAAACAACAAATTGTCATCACTTAATTCCTGTGCTGCCATAGAGCAAAATCAAATGGGAAATATTTAATTACATGTACTTTGTTTGATTAAAAAGTTCCGGTAACATGTTTGAATTACGGTATTATTATTAGCTAAATTAATTATCTAAGAATTGTTTAAGTAATTGATTTTTGCTATTTTTTGAGGCTACCATACACAGTCCGCTACTTCTCAATACTTCTAGAAAAGAGTTTAAAATGGTGAACAGCTATTAAGATTGGTATTGTCTATTTAGCACAAAGCATTGAAACCTCTCTGCCTTTATCACTTGGTTCTCCTACTATAGCTGGAATCCCACTTACAGATAATAGATGCAACCATGTTTTAGCAGGAATGAGCCTTTCCTCATCTCTACCCCTGTATGTAAACACAGATACAGACTCTAAAGGACAGGAAACTCTGGAACTTTTTTATTTCTTTATCAATAAATTGATATGAACAAAGTCAAAGAGGCTGTTTTCAAAATTGTTAATCAGCATTACCCCTTCCTTATTAAATATATCTAAGTTTTGCAAGTAACAATTGTACATTTTGTGGATGTAAAGGTGAACCCGTTGCGCATATTTTTGTTGATTATGTCCACATTGCTTCTTTCTGGTTCCACTTTCAAAGATATATATCCCCAAAAAATAAAAAAATAAATTATATATATATATATATATATATATATATATATATATATGTGTGTGTGTGTGTGTGTATAATTTATTTTTATTTTTATTTTTTATTTTTTTATTTTTTTTCTGAGCTCACTTGAAATACTTTGTATGGTCGCTAATCCAAATGTAACAATTGATGAAAAAATATTTAGAATTAATTTAGTTATAATTTTATCAAAATACTATCTATATAAAATTATTTGGGGGAAAAAACACACCTTCCTTTATCTTAAATATGAAAGATCTTAAAACAGTGGCATACCAATGAAAAATTGGGGATAAAAAAAGAAAAAGAAATCAATCAAAACAATAAAATGACATAATAATTTAAATGTACATGTAGCAGGATTCTAGGTGTTTTTTTGTTTTTGTTTTTTTTGTTGTTTTTGCATTTGTTCCTATACTTGTGTTTTTCTGTAAAGTGTATCCAAGTTGTATGTCATTAATCATCAGTCAATAAAGTTCTATACTATATATATATATAAAAAAAGTCCTACTTCTCCTTTCATGCTCTGAGCGCTAAAAACATCTCTGGCGCCCCCTGCTGGGGCCGGCGAGTCTTTGCAGCCTCATACGTCATTAACAGTAGACGGACTTAAACCCAGCAAGAATGGTAGGAAAGCTTAACAAGTTTTACGATTTAATAACAAACTACGCGTAAACTCCTTAAACTCAGAGTATTTATTATGTAATTCCGGGTTCATCTTGATTATTTGGAGCGGTTTGAGTGCAGCGCTTCTCTATAAACCGCCTCCATCGTGCTCGACATGTAGCTCCTAGCTAGCAGTAACGTTAGCTTGTCGCTCTCTTTTCCAGCTTTTCTATTCGTTTTTCAAGTCGCTGGTGGGGAAGGACGTGGTGGTGGAGCTCAAAAACGACCTGAGGTTAGTGCTTTATGATGCAGACCAAACACTCATCTTTTATTCACTGTGACCGCTGGTTTTCACTTAGAGAAAACGACTAAGCTAGCTGCATCTGCTAAGTCAAAACTACTGTACGGATATTTCTATGAAAACAGAAATATCTATGTATGTCAAGCAGCTTTTTTTTTTTTTTTTTTGCATGTTCCCAGTAATGCATGCTCATAATAGAAGAACTGATATCCATTTTCTATTTGCAGCATATGTGGAACACTTCACTCTGTTGATCAGGTTTGATTTTAATGGCTTTTTTAATATACTTCAAGTCTTTAAAATGTTACAGTGGTTTGTAATGTTATTTTTCTTCTTTTCTTCTCATTTATGTTGCAGTATTTGAACATCAAGTTGACAGACATCAGTGTGACAGATCCAGAAAAATATCCACACATGGTAAGCTTTCCTGCCCGTCCTAACTTTAGGTTTAAGAGGTTTTCTAATGATGCTGTGTCCTTTTCTTTCCAAATATAAGAAGCTTATTCACAAAACATAATTCAAGAATGGAGTATGAACAGTTTATTCTAGTTCCATCCTTTTTTATTCTTTTTTGAATCCCTAAACCTTTGTTTCAAAGTTTTATCAATGCTCCCATCCATCCATCCATCCATTCATCAGTAGGTTATTTCATCCATCAACAATACATCTGTCCAAATTTAAGACATCTGTTGCTATATTGTTCATACCTTCAGCCATCCACTAGTATCCTGTGGGACAATATTTTGTTTACACTGTGATAAAGTTGTAGGGAAGTTATATTTAAATGT